CAGTTTGGAATCTATAAGACGCCTCATGCGGTTGACTATGTATTCCCCACCTGTTGTTAATCCTGAAACCATAAGAACTAGTAGTCGTATTGGTTTCTAAACCACCAATTTTCTTATAGATATGTAACAGTTCTTGCAGTTTAATGGGGTTAGAAGGCTCATGTTTCCAAACCCAGGAGAATCCAGATTCACATAGTCGATCACTAAGGAGACAGCATTTGATCCATTCAAGAGCATATAGATGAGGGTAATTTTGTTGAAAGGGAGTTGTGCCACACCATACATCTTTCCAAAAGAGAATTTTGAGATCAAAACTTGGAATAAGGTTAAAGAGTTGTTGACTATCAATATTCATGACATCAAGAGCCATAACAACTTTGGAGATATTACACCACACTCTAGTGGATGTCTTTCTGTTAATATAAGTAGCAGGTTTCTTTCTCAGATTGTGAATGCTGGAAATTACATCTTTTGGAAGACTCATTTGATCATTCATTAATCACCATCACCATTTCAACAAGGCTAAGTTTTGTGCCTTTAAAGTCGACACTCCCAACCCCCCATCCCCAATTGGGGCAATAATCTTGGACCAATCAACCCAATGTATCTTGTTCTTTAACTCACTTCCACCCCCATAGAAATTTCCTTCTAATCTTTTCCAATGCATCGATGATGCCTTGTGGAGCTTTGAAGAGAGACATGTAGTATGTTGGGAGGCTATCTAAGACAGATTTGATTAATATGATTTGGCCTCCAAATGAAAGAGCCTTCGCCTTCCAATCAAATAGCTTGTCTTTAAATTTTTTGATTATCCGTTTCCAATGTTTAAGTAAATTCATGTTTGCCCCACCCGCACCCCGAGATATGTGAACGGGAAAGTGCCAACTGAACATCCCAAAATTCTGGCCATGTCCTTTTCTTCAGAATTTGAGATTCCCACACTAAATAAACGGGATTTCAATGTTGATTTTCAACCCAGAACCAATGTGAAAGCATGTGAGTATTGCAGAGAGGTTCTTGATGCTTGACCTATCCCATTCACTCGCAAAAATTGCATCATCTACGTAAAATAAATGGGATGAATTGGGAAAATCATAGTCAATTTAATTCCTTGGATCAGAGCCTTTGCACAAACGATTTTTATAGTGATGTGTAATCCTTCCATCACAATGATGAAAAGGTATGGTGATAGCGGGTCTCCCTATCGAACGCCCTTATAGATTGAGAATTCCTTCGTGGGTGATCCATTGACTAAGATTGATGCCCAGGAAGAGGATAGACATTCCATGATCCAGGTTCTCTATTTACGACCAAAATCCATTTGTTCCATAATGCAGTTTAGGTATTGCCGGTTGACATAATCAAAAGCTTTTTCGAAGTTTACTTTAAATAAGTAAATCTTCTTGTTTGATTTTTTGGCCCAAGGGTGTATCTCGTTCATGATTAAAGGACCATCCAATATATTCCTCCCTTCTATGTATGCTGATTGAACTTCATTCACCACTGAGCTACCCTCCTGTTTTAACCGTAGTGCTAGCAATTTGGCAATGATCTTATACATGAATCCAAGTAAGCTGATGGGTCTGTAGTCGCCAAGGTTTAACGGATCTGAGACTTTTGGTATTAAGGCTATAAAGGATGAGTTGCAGCCTTTTACAATTGAACCGGTGTTTTCAAAGTGCCTAATGAAACGAATAATGTCATCCTTCATTAATTCCGAATTGGATTTTATGAGTTTGAAAGAGAAGCCGTGTGGACCCGACGCTTTTTCATCGCCACAACACCACACCACATTTTTTATTTCTTCAATAGAAAAGAGAGATTCCAAGAAATATTTTTGATATGGGGTGAGCTTTTTGAAGTCATGGCTGAAGAATTTTGGCCTATCAGGCCAATGTTCATGGAACTTGTCTGCATAGAATCTATGAACTTTTGTTTTGATTTCCTGAGGATCTGAAACCCAAGATCCATTGATAGAGATCCCGTGAATATTAATCCGTACTTTTGCACTTCCATACCAATTTAGTCTCAAATCAATCTTTTTTTTTAACGCTAGTCTCAAATCAATCAATATGATTTTCATTTTGGTCACAAATCGCTCAATTTTAGTGAGTGCCATTTTTGTCGTAACAGACATCCAATTAGAATTAGTGACTAATTTCAGGAAATTAATGATACTACCAAGGTTTTTGACCATCAAAGTTTGGTGACTAATTAATTATTAGTTCGCATTTTTGTCATTATGAAGGCTGGTTGTAGTGACTTTTTTGAGCTAAATTGTTGTCTAATGATATTTTCTCCTGTATTGAACATTTCATTTTATAATCTTTAAGTGCATATGGTATGGGCCCGTTACAGACATGTTATGGATGAGGTGGAAATGAAAACGATGTCATAACACCATGAACACCACTCCTGGTGCATGTTAAGGATGCGTTGTGGCATTTCTTGTTGTAACAAAGACGTAATAAAACGAGAAATGTGATTGGTTATTCATATTTTCGACCGCGAATGTTATTAAAAAAATTAATTAATATTTTTTAAACTATAAATATATACTATCTATTCATTTATGTATTTCACATCATTCTCATATTTATCTGTACTTTATACAATTCCAATAACGTTAAAAAAATTATGATGGTTACGTACAATGATGATGAACAATGTTATTTAGGAAAAAAAATTATGTATTTATTTTTGTCTTGTATTTTTTTAAAAACCTGGATGTTATGTTCAATTTAAATATTATGTTTTGTAAAAATATATTTGTTTTAGTAAAAAAAATTCGAAAAAAGACATGGAAATTAATGGATGTTATAACATGTTCTTAACATGGTAATCATTTCGTCAATTGATGTTATAACACTCGTGGATGATGTGGCATATGAGGTGATACTAAAATGCTATGACATGTTGTCCATAAGCTTAAATAACAACATGTAGATACCTTGGGGACTCATGGTATAAGCTTAATTGCACTATTTCAGTATTCATCACCATCTTCTATCTATAAACCATTGCAAGATTGATCTAGGTTGTAATTAAATTCTAGGTCATAAAATTGAAGAGCGTATTGTTATAGAATCAGACATTTTCGTCAATGGAATATTGGTGTTTTGCCAAATTATCACGTCATATTAAATATTAATATCTTGACATTTCAAAAATCTTACCGAATGGATAGCCCACACAAAAGCATGAAATTAAAGCAGTACTTCAGACCCACTCATATTTCAAATCAGTAATTGGTGTGGATACTTAACTCATTTTATTGTCAATAAGAAACAAGCTTTGTCAGCCATGATCTTTTCAATGTTGGGATTTTCCTTCGAGATTATATATTCACAATTATTTATAGCATTATACAAAGAATCCTAAAGATCGTAAGACCCCAAATTATAATAAAAGAAAATAATATTATATATTAATAAACAACCAAGTAAACAACACTCCAAAGTCCAACCAGAAAATGGAAATGTTGCCATAAATAAGAAATCTAGCAGCAGATGCAACAAATAATGCTAATACAAAACTTCTGGAGAGGTTGCCTAATTACTCAGGAAAATTTCTTGTCATGCAAAAAGTTAGGGTTTCGAAGCCCGTTCATCATCAAAGTCGGCTGATACTTAATTAACAAGGTCGTCATTTCAACATTATGTAATTTAAAATAAATGGCAGGGTAACAAATAAAGATTTGTTGTGATGATTTGCCTACGTTTCCTTAGTTTGTCAAACTCCATTAGAGAGTAGCAGGTAGTCTCTTTTCTTTTATATGCTAAACTCTATATCAAGTAACTTCGATAATGCATGGCAGGCTGATTAGAGAATCCAGGAGAAGTAAATGTGACTCTTTTTGGCAAATAATATATAGCCACTGTTAGTGATTTAATCACCAAATATATTTTAGTGTAATGGATTTAACAAGTGCTTTAAAAATATTGTTTTAGTTATAATAGAAGTTAGGAGATGTGAGAGTGCACACTTGTATTCACTGAACATTGTTAGTACCGAACCCTGATCTACTGTATCAAGCAAGGTTGTAGAACTCGTTACTCGGTACCTGCTCGGCCGACTACCGAGTAGCGAGTACTCGGGAGTACTCAGGAGTACTCGGATTTGGTAATTCATGTAGTAATATTTTTAGGGAAATTATATATGTCAAAATAATAAGTTAAAATCTAAGTTGATTGAAATATATAACAAAATTAGATACATGTGAATACACAAAAACTAAAAAAACAAATAATGGTCTCACTTCGTGAATAATTACTAAAATTTAAGATATATATGTAGTGATAATCACATGTGTGTATGTTCAATAATAATAAATCATTAAGTATATTATACATATTAATCACCGAGTTGACCGAGTTTTACAACATTGCTCAGTTCAGTAAGGGGCCGATCGGGGAGTACTCGGGATTCTGTAACTCGCCTCGGCAAGGGGCCGAGTAGCGAGTACTCGGAGGAGTAATCGGCCAACTCGGCGAGTTTTACAACACTGGTATCAAGTCATTCTTTAAAGATGCAAATTCAAGGATTAATTCTGAAAGTTGAAAATTGTTCTCGTTTTATCCGTTGTGTGGATAAGTCCGGGAAATGGATGACTTCGTTGAAACACAGAAAACTGAAAAGAATCTTTCTTCTTCATTCTCTCTCAAAATTGATTCTGTGTTTTGTGCTTAAAATCAGAATCGTTTCTTCAGGAATTATCCTAGTTTGGATTTCGTGATACACAAGGCAATTAAGATCGAAATATTAAACAAGAAAAATGTATCACACGATTCCAATTTGTGATCCAGATTTCCTATAACCCAATTTCGAAATTCCCCAACAGCTACATGATTAATTACTTAATGAAGGGGTATGGATCACGTCCAAACAAAACATACCCTATCTTCAAAAACGACTCGATCACTCGACTCTTATCCCATTATTTTATTTGGAAAATAATATTTTAAAATCAATTTACTTTGGACAAACACAAATATGGGCAACGCATCGCGTCCAAACATTCTCTATCTTCAAATAAAACCAATATTAATGCAGTCAACAATGTCATAACAATTGCCACCTACTTTCTTGATATTTTCATATTTAGATTTCCCCGGAACTTCCTATATTCCATCTAACGAACATCAGTTGTGAAGTTTTTCCATTCAGGCTTAATCATCATCATATTGTGATTTGAGCATTTTTTTTTCAAGCTTTAATTTGCTGATTTTACATCCATCCGAGAGGTTCCTTTTGAAGGAAATTTTTTTTAGACTCTAATCAAGTAGAGGGCCTTGCACTGGTAAATGGGTTAAGATGATGTATTTGCTGCAGTCATTCTCTAAAACCTATTTCATGGATTTTTCAAGAAATATAGAAGAGAGCTCGCTCCAATTATATTCAAGATCAACATTTAAGGAGCGTTGACTTTGACTTTGGCTTTGGAGGTTTTTTCACAGGCCAATCAATGCTTTTGATTGATGTTAATATCTATTGAATAAATCTTGAAATCAAGAAACACTTTTTCTTTGGATTTAATGAATCCAATTCGTTGGCTCGGAGAACTATTAGAGAAAACACATTGGAGTTTCGTGGTTGCCATTGTGGTGATTTATGGAATAAATCAAGGGTTTGGTTATGCTCTTGCTAAGGTAGGCACAGACTACTACATGAAAGATGTGCAGAAACTCCAACCATCTGAATCACAGGTTTACCTACAAATCGCCAGAATTCCATGGTTTATTAAGCCCTTTTGGGGTCTTTTTACAGATATTGTTCCCTTTTTCGGGTATCACAGGAGGCCTTATTTTATTCTTGCTGGTAATTACCCATATATAAATATATATGTTCATTCATATGCTAGTATAGTTGCTTGCATATATTGAATTACTTGAACGTATAGTATAATATTATACTAAAGTTAATTACTCTTTTAGGTTCATAAAAACTGCAACAATCTGCCTAGAAACAACTATAACTATATATTTGCCTATTGGTCTCTTGCAATTTGATGGTATGGATTTTTTTTAAAGGAAACAATACAAAACGATTTTGCCTATATGAGGTTACTATGGTTCGTATCATGATTATCTGTACAAATTTAAAGGATTTTTCCCGTATAAGGTTTCATCGATTTATTATTAATTGAATATTTGCAAAATTTTCAGGCATTGTAGGAATTCTATCGATGCTTTTCTTGTCATTGCATGAAAAGCTTCATATAGGACTAGCATTGCTGTCTTTAATGGCCGGGAATGCTGGAGGTGCGATAGCAGATGTGACAGTTGATGCGTGTATAGCAAATCAAAGTGTTACTCATCGTTCTCTTGCTCCACATATACAAAGCTTATGTTCCATGAGTTCTTCCATAGGAGCTCTTATCGGATATTCTTTGAGCGGTGTCTTTCTTCATTTAATTGGTCCCAAGGTTGCTTTCTTTTTCATTTTCTATACATGTAAATATCGTAACACCTTTTTTTATAGATATCCAATGAAAATTGAAACATTTTTTTTCATGTTAAAATTACCTGTACGTGCCCTTCTGCATTTACAGGGAGTTTATGGCTTGCTAAGTATACCATATGGCCTCATGTTGCTGGTTGGCATTTTGCTAGATGAACAACGAGCTTTAACTGATTATACACAGGTACATATATATAACTAGCCTCTAAGGGTTTAATTGCAATTTTTGTCCTATTGTCCCGTTCTTAATTAGTCCTATATGGATCCCAAACAAAGTAGAGGGTTGTCATGTTCTGTCTTATTAATTCAATCAGATAAATCGGCATTATATATGGTTGATCAAGCAGGCAATATCGATATGATATCCATTGATCTCTACATATATATAAATAATATAATATGAGCACCTATATATGCATGCTTTTTGCATTGTATTTGTAATATTTTGAAAATAGGTTTACGCTTTGTGACTGCTAGTGCTAATTCTGAAAAATTTACCTTGTTTGAATATCAGGTTCCTAAGAAATTTTCGGATGCTATTATGCGTATGCGGACGACTCTGAAAAGACAAGATGTGTGGGGGCAGTGTTTTTATATGTTTATCTCCTTTGCATTGAGCTTGAATATCCATGAAGCCTTGTTCAATTGGGAAACCGATTCGAAAGCAGGCCCATCTTTCTCCCAGGTGCTTCTCTCTCTCTCTCTCTCTCTCTCTCTCTCTCTCTCTCTCTCTCTCTCTCTCTCTCTCTCTCTCTCTCTCTCTCTCTCTCTCTCTCTCCCCCCCCACAAATGGACATAGCGTCAAATGTACCAAGGCCGTGTTTTTTTTACATTAATAAAGAATGTTTAAAACAAATTTGAGAATGATAGAATGAAAAAAATAAAAAAATAAAAGTGTTGTATAAATAAAATGTTAGAGTGTTAGTCTTTTGTATGGATAAGTGTTGAATGGATAAACATGTGTTAGAAATAAGTGTTGTACGAATGTAGACTGTTTCTTTAAATGAACAATAACTATTACTCATATTCTATGTGCAGGAAGCTGTTGGTTTTATTTCATCGATTGGCTCAGTCGGATCCCTTTTAGGTGCAATATTGTATCAACATAGTTTAAAGACTCATCCTATCCGAAGTCTACTATTTTGGGCTCAGTTGTTTTTGGGCGTATCAGGGATGCTAGATCTTGTCTTAATACTTAGGCTAAACCTAAAACTAGGAATCCCTGATATGTTATTTGCGATTATCAACGAAAGTGTCTTCCAGTTGGTTCAAAATTTGAAGTGGTTGACATTTTATGTTATAACTTCTAAGCTTTGTCCAAGTGACATCGAGGGTACATTCTTCGCTTTGGTCATGTCCATTGACAATTTGGGCAACTCTTCCTCAGAATGGCTTGGTGCCTCACTTCTTTGTTACCTAAATGTCACAAGTACACAATTTGATAAGTTATGGCAAGCAATTTTGATTCGAAATGTTATGAGAATTGCACCTCTTTGTTTTCTGTCTTTGGTGCCTAATGTTGGTGAGGATAGTGAATCCGGTTTGAGTAGTTTACAAGATAATGAAATATTGGAACCCAGGAATGTGGAACTTACACCCCTCATTGCAAGTGCTTCAAGTTGAAATAAGGTTTAAAAGCATTGAGAAACATTTTATTTTTTATGTTTTGTTACATTTATTTAGCAAGGGGCAAGATTGGTCCGAGAAAGGCAAATTTATGTTATGAAATAAGGTAAAATTGATATGAGGTAGTGATACTAATCCAGTCGGATCATGTTCCATGTATTAAAAAACAAGCTATAAGCTGGATGAAGTTCGTACGTGAAGTGATTAATCCTTTAGGTTTGATTACATTTGGATGATTGAGTCTTCTCATGATAAGGATTTCTCTTGCCATGAACTTGACGCTTTGTGAATCCATGTTGTCAAATCATACTCTTTTTAAAGTAATAGTTTTTAGATTTGGTCAAAGGGGATTTTGTTATTTAGGAAAAGACTAACTAGTCAAATGTTAAAGTCAACACCAAAAGAACCATTCATGCAATTTTTGAAACCATAAGGACCAGTTACGTAACATTTTTCATAGAAATCCTCAAAGTACAATATCTTGCTAATCATAAAAAGCACTTATAAAATTTTGTCTAGTTCATATTACTATGTAAGATTTATTTTGTATATGATATTTGTCATTTGAATTCAACATGTCCATCTAAATAATTTGCAATTAGAGACATGTAATAGGATTTAAATTTTATTTATGTAGTTTATTTATCATGGGAGGTTTAAGATTTGTAAACACTATTATTTTATTAAATTCATTCAAATATTAGTAATTCCATAATTTTACTTTAAACTGTTAATGTTTTTTAAGTGTGAAACAACTTTATTGTTGGTTTTTTCCCGGCCCATTGTGACAAAGTAGTCACAACAATGTGTAGGATTATGGAGGGGTGAAATACTGAAATACAATAGTGAAGTCTTGCATTTATGTTCCACATGACCAACTAAATAGTTTGTGATCACGATCGAGAGTAAGATTTGGATTTTATTTAAGCATCGTATCGTATTTAATATTGTACATTTTAGATTTGTTAGGCTTCCCCCCGTCGTGCCAAAGCATTCACAAAAGTTTGTAGAGCCGAGTGCGTTCATCTATACCAATATACATATGTAAGCATTATATTTATGAGTAAATTACACAGATGGTCCTTGTGGTTTAGGGTAATCTTTGTGCTTGTTCCATAATATATATTTTTAATTCAAATCACCCTTACTTTATATTTTTGTTGCACGCCTCGTCTCCATCCATTCTAAAAAGACTGATTTACCCTAACTGATTTATTTTTACATTTTTTAAATTACCAGTTAATTAAATATGAAAAAATATTAACTAAATATATATTGGTTTCATTCATTAACCCACACCACCCCCAATCATCATCTCTTACCCTCCCACTTACCCACTCCACCCCTACCTTTTTCTTCTAATCCTTTTTCTCCGATGAGCCACCATCACTCCCTCCTGTTCCATTCATGGTCTCCTCCATACTAAAAATTCAACACCTTCACAAAAAATGCAAAACTAAAGCCTAAATCTACAAAACTCAAAATCAATGTTAAACAAATCAATAACATTAAGCAAAAGTTAGATCAAATCAATCAAATTCACAGGTTAAACGTATCTTGATAAAGAGAAGGTTCTAAAAAAACTTCCAAATCCAAAAAATCAGATTTTGGCTTCTACAAACACAATGTTGCTATACCTAATTCTTCACCCGATTTCAACTGTGTTTGGATGTCTGTGTGGAATGAAAGGGTGTTATTATATCTAATTCATAAACTTCAACCAGATTTGGGTTTCTAAAGCAAATCCAAACCCCCCCAAAAAAAAATCATATTTGGTTTTTTGAAAAAATTTATGATTTTTGAACATGACATCAAAATAAGATGAAAGGCATTGTCAAGATTAGAGATGGATCTCAGATATATGTGAGGGTCGTCGGTTTTACAAAATCAATTTAGGTCGAAGGTGAGGAGAGAGGAGGGAGAATATGCCGTCAATTAAAGGTGAAGATGGAGGTGATTAGAGAATATGATTGTACACAAGTTTAGACTATAATTTTATAATTTTTGGTTTAATATTCAATAACTTACAGTCTCCCAAATTCGGGATATGAAGCTGAAAAAATTCAACTTTTTATCTATTTATTTTTATATTTTGTATTATGTGAAAATTTTAAAACATGCATATCACATTAGTTTTAATTCGGATTGACATTAGGTTTTTTAAGATTGTATATTAGAGTTTGTACTTGATTTTAGACTATAATTTTGTCAAATTTGGTTTCAAATAACTTAAACTCTCTCGAAGTCGAGATATCAATATAGAAATTTTCAAGGTTTAACCTGTTGGATTAGGTGTCTAAGCCTATAACTATAATTGATATATACTTGATTTGATTATGAGTATAGTCCTTTTGGGTTACCTTCACTCCTGCAACTTGATAGAATGGCAAGTGGAGAGAGAGTAGAATTTATTATATGAATAATAAATTGATACTCAGAATGATTTTATTAATATAATATAAAATTAATATATTATTTGGAAATCATATTATTAATTAGTAATTAATATGATATTAATTTCAGGATTAAAGGAACTGATTAATAATAGAGGGACTGTTTTGCAAATCATTGATAGTTGTGAAACTGAGCCTAGGGACTCCTTAATGGAAGTGGACAAAATTTATAGCTTGGGCTTATAAGATTTCGTCCAAGGCATCTTGTGGAGGTCCATGGGTTGCTTTGGGCTTAATTTAGGAATTAGGGTTTCCTTATTCAAGTCTCGCTTAAAGGTTAAGCAACCCAGCCCTATATAAATCCTCTAAACCTAGGAAATTCGACCCTAAGCTTCTAAGAGTTGACCTAGCCGATTTTCCACCTCTTTCCATGTCATTGTTTATGACTCCATTATAGGTGCAACACTTGGAGCTCTAGGCTTTCAGAAGTCAAGATCAAGCAAGGATTGTTCTTGTTATTACAATACAACAAGTGATGTAATCTCCTAACCCTAATATATATGTGAATTTCTAAATTGTATATACTAAATCTAGGGGTTTTGCTTTGGATAATTTAATTTACATGTATAACTTGAGAAAAACCTAGATCCAAAGCATTAGGGTTGCATATGCACCACATGAATGTTGTAGTGCTCAAAACCCATCAGTGGTATCAGAGATTAGGGTGTTTCTCTGTTATATTTGATGTTATTATGAATTCTTCAAAGCTGGAAGAAAATCGTTTTTGGACTCTGTCTGATGAACACGACGTGTTCATAGTTGAACACGACGTGTTCATAGTTGAACACGACGTGTCCATAGTTGAACACGACGTGTTGACCCGTAAGTTGGTAGATTTATCGGATTTTAGGCCAAAATTAGATAAGGATAACTACCATAAGTTGTTTTAACTGATTAAAACCAAATTTTCTGATATGGTAATGAATATCCTCATCTAATTGAAAGATAATTGTCAACTTTTAAGATAATTACAAGATTATATGATAAATTAATTATTTGTAAATTTTGATTTGAGCTTTCTTACCAAATAAATTGGATTAGGTCAAATTTATGATAAAGATAAAATTATATGATTAATTTAATTACTTAAAATTTGATCTAGAATTTTTTTTGAAAAATATTTCTAAATTTGCTCTCAAGTTTTGGAATTTAAAATTTAATTAAAAGTTTTAATTTTGAAATATTAAATTCTAAAACACTAATATTTTAAAAGTTTAAAATACATCCTTATACTATTATAATATTAAAATTTTAATATATATATATATATATATATATATATATATGTGTGTGTGTGTGTGTGTGTGTGTATAAGATAAGTCAGTCTTACCGTTATTAGGCTTCATTCACGAAACTGGTCTATAAGGGGTGTTTAAGGAAGCGGCCTGTAAAATGACTGCCATTGAGTATCCATTCTTACCCACCGCACCTTTAACTAGTAGAGGGTTGTTAGCCAAACCGGTATGATAGGGCACAAACTCTCGTTAATAAGTAATGAAAATACAAAGTAACTAAACCCTTTTATAAATTCCCAAATCTTAGTTATTTTGGGAAAAATGTGAATTTGATGCTAACCCATGAAATTACACATTACACCTTATTGGTCGTTAGTGGAGCGCGTGTGGTTAACCGGCACACTAAGATGGGACTAATGAACGATGGCAATGGGTAGCTCGTAAATTATCATATATCGATTGAGCGTGTGTGGCTAACCGACACATTGATTAGATGATAAATGACATCGAGATTACCAAACTATTTGCATGGTTATTCACACCTTGTTTGTGATCCTTGGTATCCCAGTCACAAACTTGAAGGGCATTATCAAGATTAAATATGCCATTGAAAAGTTCAATTAATCTCAAAAGATCTAGGAATTTCATTTAAAACCTAATTTGTTTAAAATTTCATTTTTGTGGTGGAATTGGTAAATTGTCATTTATCTACCTTCAAATAATTTACAATTGGATTACGACACCCCTCTTCTAAATTGTGAATTATTCTGTTGGGTCCTAGCCTTAATATTTCATTTGGGTGTTATATTATAGATTGAATCAACTAACTTGAATTTCTGCCTTGTAGATGTCTAGTTCTGACAACTATGGTCTTCCTAATCATTTTGGAAAAAGCTTTCCTTATGAAGATGATATTCCACGTGTCGATCGAGGTGAAAGATCAATCCCTTCTTCGTAAATTGGTGGAACTTCTCTTCCTCCACCTCCTCCAGTAATTCTCCTTCACCCACGTGTTCATCGACTTGAAAAGTTCAAGGTCACTCAAGCCCTATTGGCAAGCAAACACCAAGATGGAAAGTCTGTATGTGATCACTTCTTGGAGATGAAGTCGCACGTTGACAGACTGGGAATGTTGGGTGTCGTTTTCCCAAGGAAGATGGCTATTGACATGGAAAGTCTGTATGTGATCACTTCCTAAGTCGTATAGTCAGTTCGTTAAGGACTACTATATGAAAGACCACGACATGACTCTTATTGATCTAACTTATTTGCTAATTGTTGTTGAAGCATCAATGCTTTGGCACAGTGGTCAAGCAAATTTTTCTAGAAGATCTATCTCTCAAACTTCCATGGACATTGAAAATCGCAACACTGGAAGTCCAGAAAAGTTTTCTCTTCCTAATGGAAAGGGATCGGCCAAGGTCAAACAGTTTGACCGAATGGTAAAGAGAAAGGCTGAGTCTGCAATAGTCCCATTTACCATTTCGAAAGAGTCTGTTTGTTTCTATTGCCAAGAGAAGGGGCATTGGATGTGAAGCTGCCGTATCTACTTGAAGGATCGCAAGGATGGTAAAGTCAAAACGTATGACTCTACTTTAGGTAAGTCCACTATCTAACTCTATTAAGTTCCTATTTATAGATTCTTAATCTATGATGTGATAATATTGCATCTTGATGTTTTATAAGATCGAAGAAAAGGAAGGAAGCTTAAAGGAAGAGTAAGCTGAGTACGATAGCGAAAAGATGGATTTCGATCGCATGGTTCAAAGATCAGATTTTTGAGCTACTACTAGAAGTTATGATAGATTGCTTAAAAATATTTAGAAACATAGTTTTCATATGAATTTGCATTGTAAGGACAAGTTTTCGCACTTTATAAATAAAGAAAATTTTGATTTTGTCTTATTTTATCCTTGCAATGGCTTTTGTGAAAATTGGTGTTTATATTTCTATTGTTAGCAATGTT